AACTTAATTACTGTAACGTGAGTATTTGTAATTCGTTACTTCACACCCCTGGATTTCAAGCATATTACCACAAGCCCAAGATGCCCTCAAAGCAACGGCCTAGCAGAGAAAACTGTTCAAACTGCAAAGCGCATCCTAGGAAAAGCGAAAGCCGATGACAAAGACTACTATCTCGGACTATTAGAATACCGGAACACACCTGTGGATAACCTAAAGTCCCCAAGCCCAACTCTTGATGAGCCGAAAGCTACGATCAATTCTTCCCATAACTGCTGCACAACTCCAACCTCAAGTCACACCCCAGCATGTACACCGGAACCGGAGAGGAGCATGTCAACATCGACAGAAATTATACTACAACAGGTCTGCTAAAGTTCTACCCCCCTTAGCTGCAGGGACACATATCCGTTTCCACCAAGAGGATGGCTCGTGGCAGCCAGCAAAGGTAACACACACAGGAGTTACCATATCCAAACAGAGGAAGGACAAATGCTCCGACGCAACAGGCGACACCTCCGCGAAACCAGCGAATGCCCAAATACACCAGAGAACCACCAGCCTATAGCACCTCACAGTGCTACCCCAAACCTGAACTTGCTCAACAGCCAATTAGCCAGTCACAACAGGAACAATCTGGTTATACCACAAGATCTGGCTGTGCAATTAAGCCTAGACAAATTCTTGACCTATAATCACAAGACTCCTTAGTCATGCAGAACAAAACCACATCTGCATGTTCATGTCATGTTTATATGAAGTGTTCATATTATACTGTTCTTAAATACACAAGCTGGAAAGTTGTAAGTTAATCTACCACGTTCAGTGGTGAACACCTGCAGTTGTCACAAACATCAGTGAACAACAGTGGATTTCTTGCAATATTTACATTTAACCTAACTCATCCAACACACAATGATGCATTCATAATTAAAAACAATTTCATCTCATTCTGTTTTGAGTGATTCCACTGCTGCCGTCCGACAATAACGTATGCATTAAGCAAGTGCAATTTTCCTAATTAAAATCAGTGTTAGCATAGAGATGATGGTTATTGCTTTGGTTATGTTATGGATTGGTTTACTATATTTATATCATAATAATGCACTGCAGTCAGACGTTTGTCTTGTGTTCTTGCTCTTCTTTTGGGTCACTATTGCCCCTTCAAAATGTCAACTTTCCTCCTACTGTTAAATTCCTTCTCCATCCAAGTGCAGCCACAGGACCTCTGCTCTTCCACTTCTTTACAAACCACCCGAAAAGCACCAAATATCTGATTTAGATGAGCTGAATATGTATAGAACATGTGTAATTGATAACCTTTTAAAGATGTGCCCCTCCAAGACAAGTCATGACATAATGATACATTAACAAGTCATGAATTCATGTTACTTAATAAGTAATTAATGATGAGTTAGTAATAATGTGCCCCCCCCCCCAAGTAAAGTCATGACATAATGATACATTAACAAGTCATGAATTCATGTTACTTAATAAGTAATTAATGATGAGTTAGTAATAATGTGCCCCCCCCCCCAAGTAAAGTCATGACATAATGATACATTAACAAGTCATGAATTCATGTTACTTAATAAGTAATTAATGATGAGTTAGTAATAATGTGCCCCCCCCCCCAAGTAAAGTCATGACATAATGATACATTAACAAGTCATGAATTCATGTTACTTAATAAGTAATTAATGATGAGTTAGTAATAATGTGCCCCCCCCCCCAAGTAAAGTCATGACATAATGATACATTAACAAGTCATGAATTAATTAGGGCTGTGTATTGGCAAGAATCTGACGATACGATACATATCACGATAAAGGGGTTGTGATACATTGCGATACTGTAAGCAAGGCGATATATTGGGATACTTCTTATTTTAGGAAAGTTGTCATAAAGAACACACCACCATATGAAAACCTTAGCAATAAATACATCAAATAAATAAAAATTATTTAACCAGAACAGTGGGATCTGCATTTGCAATAATCAGTCCCTGTAACATTCAACATTATTAAACCACTTTTTGTGCAGTACGAGTCAAGGGGGAAAATCAAAGTGCTAGCAGGATCCTTTAGTTAAATGTATATGTATTTTGTAAAAAGACCATATATATATTTTAGACCCTGCTTTAAAACCCTTGTGTTGTGTTCAGAACCCTATCACACTAACGAGTTTACAGAGCAAAAAGGACCCGGCTTCAAAAAATGCTTATAAATCCCTCATTATGCTATATTATCACCAAAGATTGGATTCAATCTTTTTGTCAACTTCTTTTCTTTAATTTAGGACTGGTTTTGTATTTATATTTGCTTCTGATTAATCGTAGGCCTCATTTATCTGAAAGTAGGCACCTTATTTTTTGAGTGAAAAAAGCATTATTTATGAATAATTTTCACAATATTAAATAAAAACTGATGAAAATTTGCACTGTTTATCACAATAGTGTGCTTTAATGTTTAATCAGGGAGTTTGTTTTGAAAGGCTTTTATTTTGTACAAAATGGCACAAAGTCACACTTGTGGTGTTCCCGGTCAAAAATGTCCAGCCATTCAAAGTGAATGGGAAAGAGTTAAACTAATAGAAACTATTAGTGTTCAGGAGCATGTTGATCATGTTCACGTTCACATATGTACGTGTGCTTGCAAACAAAGGCCTTGGACCTGTTCATGTTTGGATGCATGCATAC